GCAAGAGAGGGGCGCAAGAGAGATGAGCAAGAGAGGGGCGCAAGAGAGATGAGCAAGAGAGGGGCGCAAGAGAGATGAGCAAGAGAGGGGCGCAAGAGAGATGAGCAAGAGAGGGGCGCAAGAGAGATGAGCAAGAGAGGGGCGCAAGAGAGATGAGCAAGAGAGGGGCGCAAGAGAGATGAGCAAGAGAGGGGCGCAAGAGAGATGAGCAAGAGAGGGGCGCAAGAGAGATGAGCAAGAGAGGGGCGCAAGAGAGATGAGCAAGAGAGGGGCGCAAGAGAGATGAGCAAGAGAGGGGCGCAAGAGAGATGAGCAAGAGAGGGGCGCAAGAGAGATGAGCAAGAGAGGGGCGCAAGAGAGATGAGCAAGAGAGGGGCGCAAGAGAGATGAGCAAGAGAGGGGCGCAAGAGAGATGAGCAAGAGAGGGGCGCAAGAGAGATGAGCAAGAGAGGGGCGCAAGAGAGATGAGCAAGAGAGGGGCGCAAGAGAGATGAGCAAGAGAGGGGCGCAAGAGAGATGAGCAAGAGAGGGGCGCAAGAGAGATGAGCAAGAGAGGGGCGCAAGAGAGATGAGCAAGAGAGGGGCGCAAGAGAGATGAGCAAGAGAGGGGCGCAAGAGAGATGAGCAAGAGAGGGGCGCAAGAGAGATGAGCAAGAGAGGGGCGCAAGAGAGATGAGCAAGAGAGGGGCGCAAGAGAGATGAGCAAGAGAGGGGCGCAAGAGAGATGAGCAAGAGAGGGGCGCAAGAGAGATGAGCAAGAGAGGGGCGCAAGAGAGATGAGCAAGAGAGGGGCGCAAGAGAGATGAGCAAGAGAGGGGCGCAAGAGAGATGAGCAAGAGAGGGGCGCAAGAGAGATGAGCAAGAGAGGGGCGCAAGAGAGATGAGCAAGAGAGGGGCGCAAGAGAGATGAGCAAGAGAGGGGCGCAAGAGAGATGAGCAAGAGAGGGGCGCAAGAGAGATGAGCAAGAGAGGGGCGCAAGAGAGATGAGCAAGAGAGGGGCGCAAGAGAGATGAGCAAGAGAGGGGCGCAAGAGAGATGAGCAAGAGAGGGGCGCAAGAGAGATGAGCAAGAGAGGGGCGCAAGAGAGATGAGCAAGAGAGGGGCGCAAGAGAGATGAGCAAGAGAGGGGCGCAAGAGAGATGAGCAAGAGAGGGGCGCAAGAGAGATGAGCAAGAGAGGGGCGCAAGAGAGATGAGCAAGAGAGGGGCGCAAGAGAGATGAGCAAGAGAGGGGCGCAAGAGAGATGAGCAAGAGAGGGGCGCAAGAGAGATGAGCAAGAGAGGGGCGCAAGAGAGATGAGCAAGAGAGGGGCGCAAGAGAGATGAGCAAGAGAGGGGCGCAAGAGAGATGAGCAAGAGAGGGGCGCAAGAGAGATGAGCAAGAGAGGGGCGCAAGAGAGATGAGCAAGAGAGGGGCGCAAGAGAGATGAGCAAGAGAGGGGCGCAAGAGAGATGAGCAAGAGAGGGGCGCAAGAGAGATGAGCAAGAGAGGGGCGCAAGAGAGATGAGCAAGAGAGGGGCGCAAGAGAGATGAGCAAGAGAGGGGCGCAAGAGAGATGAGCAAGAGAGGGGCGCAAGAGAGATGAGCAAGAGAGGGGCGCAAGAGAGATGAGCAAGAGAGGGGCGCAAGAGAGATGAGCAAGAGAGGGGCGCAAGAGAGATGAGCAAGAGAGGGGCGCAAGAGAGATGAGCAAGAGAGGGGCGCAAGAGAGATGAGCAAGAGAGGGGCGCAAGAGAGATGAGCAAGAGAGGGGCGCAAGAGAGATGAGCAAGAGAGGGGCGCAAGAGAGATGAGCAAGAGAGGGGCGCAAGAGAGATGAGCAAGAGAGGGGCGCAAGAGAGATGAGCAAGAGAGGGGCGCAAGAGAGATGAGCAAGAGAGGGGCGCAAGAGAGATGAGCAAGAGAGGGGCGCAAGAGAGATGAGCAAGAGAGGGGCGCAAGAGAGATGAGCAAGAGAGGGGCGCAAGAGAGATGAGCAAGAGAGGGGCGCAAGAGAGATGAGCAAGAGAGGGGCGCAAGAGAGATGAGCAAGAGAGGGGCGCAAGAGAGATGAGCAAGAGAGGGGCGCAAGAGAGATGAGCAAGAGAGGGGCGCAAGAGAGATGAGCAAGAGAGGGGCGCAAGAGAGATGAGCAAGAGAGGGGCGCAAGAGAGATGAGCAAGAGAGGGGCGCAAGAGAGATGAGCAAGAGAGGGGCGCAAGAGAGATGAGCAAGAGAGGGGCGCAAGAGAGATGAGCAAGAGAGGGGCGCAAGAGAGATGAGCAAGAGAGGGGCGCAAGAGAGATGAGCAAGAGAGGGGCGCAAGAGAGATGAGCAAGAGAGGGGCGCAAGAGAGATGAGCAAGAGAGGGGCGCAAGAGAGATGAGCAAGAGAGGGGCGCAAGAGAGATGAGCAAGAGAGGGGCGCAAGAGAGATGAGCAAGAGAGGGGCGCAAGAGAGATGAGCAAGAGAGGGGCGCAAGAGAGATGAGCAAGAGAGGGGCGCAAGAGAGATGAGCAAGAGAGGGGCGCAAGAGAGATGAGCAAGAGAGGGGCGCAAGAGAGATGAGCAAGAGAGGGGCGCAAGAGAGATGAGCAAGAGAGGGGCGCAAGAGAGATGAGCAAGAGAGGGGCGCAAGAGAGATGAGCAAGAGAGGGGCGCAAGAGAGATGAGCAAGAGAGGGGCGCAAGAGAGATGAGCAAGAGAGGGGCGCAAGAGAGATGAGCAAGAGAGGGGCGCAAGAGAGATGAGCAAGAGAGGGGCGCAAGAGAGATGAGCAAGAGAGGGGCGCAAGAGAGATGAGCAAGAGAGGGGCGCAAGAGAGATGAGCAAGAGAGGGGCGCAAGAGAGATGAGCAAGAGAGGGGCGCAAGAGAGATGAGCAAGAGAGGGGCGCAAGAGAGATGAGCAAGAGAGGGGCGCAAGAGAGATGAGCAAGAGAGGGGCGCAAGAGAGATGAGCAAGAGAGGGGCGCAAGAGAGATGAGCAAGAGAGGGGCGCAAGAGAGATGAGCAAGAGAGGGGCGCAAGAGAGATGAGCAAGAGAGGGGCGCAAGAGAGATGAGCAAGAGAGGGGCGCAAGAGAGATGAGCAAGAGAGGGGCGCAAGAGAGATGAGCAAGAGAGGGGCGCAAGAGAGATGAGCAAGAGAGGGGCGCAAGAGAGATGAGCAAGAGAGGGGCGCAAGAGAGATGAGCAAGAGAGGGGCGCAAGAGAGATGAGCAAGAGAGGGGCGCAAGAGAGATGAGCAAGAGAGGGGCGCAAGAGAGATGAGCAAGAGAGGGGCGCAAGAGAGATGAGCAAGAGAGGGGCGCAAGAGAGATGAGCAAGAGAGGGGCGCAAGAGAGATGAGGCGCAAGAGAGAAGAGCAAGAGAGGGGCGCAAGAGAGGGGCGCAAGAGAGATGAGCAAGAGAGGGGAGCAAGAGAGGGGAGCAGGGAGGAGATCCGAGTCGTCTATTCTTTTTCGCCCTGAGTTGGTGGGGGAAGGAAGGATTGGGGGAGGGGAATGGGGAAAAGTGGCACAAACAAAAAGGGAGCAGAGCAAGGGGAGAGTCAAAATTGCGTATAGGAGACAGAGCAAGAAACAGTGAGTGAGTTTCCAACGTCTATGTGACTTGCTCACTTGCAGGTGCTTACCAGAGATAAAAGTCGCGCCGGTTGAGGTGGATGGTAGCAAGGAGGTCCGAGGAAGGCGACATGGAGAGAACCACGACAGCTGTCGGCACAAGCCTACTACACCACACCAGATGTTCGTCATTCAAGAGTTGCTTTGGTGCTCACCAGAGGTAGCTCCCTCGCCGGTTCGGATGAATGGTGGCAAGTCGGTCGGAGGAAGGCGAGGCGACATGGAGAGCCCCACGACGACAGCTGTCGGCACCTTGAAGGCGCCCAACGGCCGGCCCCACGAGCCTGCATCGTATCAACACCTACCCAAGTACCCTGCGTTCCAGAGCTGCTAGCACGTGCTCACCAGAGGTATATTCCTCGACGGTTGAGGTGAATGGTCGCAAGGAGGTCCGAACTCGGAGACATGGACAGCCCCACGACAGCTGTCGGCACCTGGAAGGCGTCCAGCGGCCGGCCACTCACGACGTGCCACGTGCGCACTGTCAGATCCATGGCTGACGTCAGCAGCCACCGGCCGTCGGGGCTCATCTCCACGGCGGTGATCCGATCCTCGTGGCCCGTGAACCGCCGAACCAGCCGGCCAGCCTCGGCGTCAAAGATGTAGGTCGTGAAATTCTCACAGGCGATTGCTGCTAGGTCTGGTGGGGTGAGTGGGAGAGGGAGGGGATTAGAGGGAGGGGATTAGAGGGAAGGGATTAGAGGGAGGGGATTAGAGGGAGGGGATTAGAGGGAGGGGATTAGAGGGAGGGGATTAGAGGGAGGGGATTAGAGGGAGGGGATTAGAGGGAGGGGATTAGAGGGAGGGGATTAGAGGGAAGGGATTAGAGGGAGGGACGAGGAGAAGCCAGAGGGCGATAGGGTCACATGATAAAAGAATCAACGATCCTATCGTCTCAAAATATCACTTTTATCAGAAGCCAGGGGGCGATAGGGTCGTTGATTCTTCGTACCACTGCTGCTAAGAGATGGAAAGATAGTTTTGAGGCGCCTCAAAACTCGTACCACTGCTGCTAAGAGATGGAAAGATAGTTTTGAGGCGCCTCAAAACTCGTACCACTGCTGCTAAGAGATGGAAAGATTGGCAGGAGAGCGGAGAAGAGAGGGAGGACCAGAAGCCAGGCAAGGCCCAGCGTTTGTTTGTTTGCCTGTTTGTTTGCTTGTTTGCTTGTATAATTGTACCAAGCTGTACTCGTTACAAGCACACTCACTGTTGCCGTGGTGAAACTTCATCTTCACTATCGGCGATCCAACATTCACATCGAATCGCAGGCGACCCGACTTGAGATACCAGACCTGGGCGGCGGAAAGGTGGGAGAATGGGGGTGCCATGGCCAGGGAATAGCGGGGAAGGGGCAGGGGATGGGGGGATAACGTTCGCCTTGTATCGCAGCCAAACTAGTTACCAGATACCAGACCTGGGGGCAAAGGCGGTGGGAAGAATACGGCCGACTGATAGGGAAAAAATGGGAGGGGAAAGGGGCGAGGGGGAAGGGGTTGGGGGCGAGGGGGAAGGGGTTGGGGGCGAGGGGGAAGGGGTTGGGGGCGAGGGGGAAGGGGTTGGGGGCGAGGGGGAAGGGGTTGGGGGCGAGGGGGGAAGGGGTTGGGGGCGAGGGGGAAGGGGTTGGGGGCGAGGGGGGAAGGGGTTGGGGGCGAGGGGGGAAGGGGTTGGGGGCGAGGGGGGAAGGGGTTGGGGGCGAGGGGGAAGGGGTTGGGGGCGAGGGGGAAGGGGTTGGGGGCGAGGGGGAAGGGGTTGGGGGCGAGGGGGAAGGGGTTGGGGGCGAGGGGGAAGGGGTTGGGGGCGAGGGGGAAGGGGTTGGGGGCGAGGGGGGAAGGGGTTGGGGGCGAGGGGGAAGGGGTTGGGGGCGAGGGGGAAGGGTTGGGGGCGAGGGGGAAGGGGTTGGGGGCGAGGGGGAAGGGGTTGGGGGCGAGGGGGAAGGGGTTGGGGGCGAGGGGGGAAGGGGTTGGGGGCGAGGGGAAGGGGTTGGGGGCGAGGGGGAAGGGGTTGGGGGCGAGGGGGGAAGGACGGGCACGTGGATGCAGCATGTATATAATAAACCCATCTCTGCTCGCGCCTTCTGACTGGTGCGCCACATTATCTGCACTGCTGCTTGCAGGTGTTCTTTCACACCTTGACATGCCCATCCCTGCCGCAGCTGATGCTGTGTCTGTTGAGCGCGTCAATGGCAGCGCCAGTCACCATGCCGGCATGGGCCGGGCTGTACTGCATCTTCTCTGACTGACTGGTACGCCACACTCTCTGTTCTGCTGCCTGCAGGTGCCCTCTCTCTCTCACCTTGACATGCCCTTCTCTGCGGCAGCTGATGCTGTGCATGTTAAGCGCGTCAATAGCAGCGCCCGTGACCATACCGCCATGTGCCGGGCTGTACTTTATCTTCTCTGACTGGTACGCCACGCTCTCTGCTCTACTGCCTAACTGTGCTCTCACAGTCTCTCTCACCTTAATGTGCCTGTCTCTGCCGCAGCTGATGCTGTGTCTGTTGAGTGCGTCAATAGCAGCGCCAGTCACCATGCCGCCATGTGCCGGGCTGTACTGCATCTTCTCTGTCTGGTATGCCACTCAGTGAGAGAGGAGAGAGGAGAAAAACTGTGCCATACTGACTGCCAGTGCTCCCTCTCACCTTGACTCGCCCGTCTCTGCCGCAGCTAACGCTGTGTCGGTTCAGAGCATCGATAGCAGCGCCCGTCACCATGCCGGCATGCGCCGGGCTGTACTGCATCTTCTCTGTCTGGTACGCCACGCGGTGCCGTGCAGACTGCAGGTGGAAGAGATGCAGATGACCCGCTGAGGTGCCGACTAGAGCAAAGTTGCCGCACATGCTGGCAGCACACGCCTGGTGGGTTGGGAAGGAGAGGGAGGAGAGGGGGACACGGATTGTATGTGCTGACTGCAGGTGGAAGAGGTGCAGATGACCCGCTGAGGTGCCTACTAGAGCAAAATTGCCACACATGCTCGCTGCACACGCCTGGTGTTGGAGGGGAGGGGGACAGGGGCAAGGGGAACACAGAATGTCCGTGATGACTGCAGGTGGGAGTGCAGATGACTCGCTGAGAACCCTAAACCCTAAACCCTAAACCCTAAACTAGAGCAAAATTGCTGCACATGCTGGCAGCACACGCCTGGGAAAAGGAAGAGGGGAAGGGGAAGGCCGCTAGGGTTCAATTGCTGGAAGCGCCAGACTCAGCTTGCCGATTACAAAGTTCATAAATTCCCACACACATGCTGCAAGATGCTCCTACACAATCCCATGGCAACCAGTTCGCATCATTATAATCCCACTCCTTACAGTGGCAGGCGAGGGTTCAATTCCTGGCGGCACCAGCTTAAGCTTGCCGATCACAAAGTTCCTCAGCTCCCACACGAATGCCGCTGGGTTCTCGTGACAGGTGACCACATTCGCCCAGTCCCTCTCCCGCACCTCAGCTGAACATGAAGATATAGTGAGGTACAGAGCAGTACAGAGGGGTGAAGAGGGAGGACAGAACAGTAAGACGTGGTAAACAGGGTTAGATGGGAGGTAACCAAGTGTGACTGAGGTTCAAAGTTCTCCAGCTCCCACACGAATGCCGCTGGGTTCTCGTGACAGGTGACCACATTCGCCCAGTCCCTCTCCCGCACCTCAGCTGACGATGGGGGTACAGAGGGGTGAACATGGGTCAAGAGGGTGGACAGAATGGTAAGAAGTGGTAAACAAGCCATATCACAGCAGTCCCAAGTTCTTCCACTCCCACACGAGTGATTCTGGGTTGCCCTCGTGACAGGTGACCACGTCGGCCAAGTCCCGCTCCCGCACCTCAGCTGATGGAGCGGTGAGGTTCAGAAGGGTACAGAGGGGTACAGTGGGGTGATGAAGGGTGAAGAGGACAGAATGGTACGAAGCGGTAAACAAGGTTCAAACGGGAAATAGCCACGTGTACCACACAAATGCAATGCTTACCAACTACCCGAAGTTTTCAATCAGCTACAACACAAAGGCAATGCTTACCAGCATCTATGCATACCACCTTGGACAGCTTCAGCTTCTCCTCCTGAGTCGACTCAAAAGTCACCCTATTAACCAACCAGAGATAAGAGGTGGAGTTATTGTGCTTACCAGCATCTATGCAGACCACCTTGGACAGCTTCAGCTTCTCCTCCTGAGGAAGAAAGGGAGCAAGGCAGCAACGAGGGGAGAGAGAGGCAGGCAGGCAGGCAGGGAAAACGGAAGGACGACCAAAGAATTTGGGGAAACGAAGAGAAGAGCAGAAGAAGCAGCAGGGGGGCACAGGAAGAAGGGATTTGGGGGACTTGTATCAGCACGGGCAGGGCACTTATGTCTATTCTCAACATATGCCTCCGCCGGCTTACTAACATCAACCAATGTCAGCACAAGGACGGCTTTTGAGGCGCCTTCACAAAGTCAGTGCAAGGATGACAGAAAATCGCAGTAAATGCCAATGTGCGTCCTCACCTCACTCACACATGTTCATCCTATCATACCCTCCGCTGCAATAATCCCCTGCTCTCAATGAAAAATAACCCCGCGCACCCCTCAACCCCATTCATGCATGCCAAAAAGTGTTGCTCGCCTTTTGATGCGCCTCAGGACCGAAGGGTGTCGCTCGCCCCTTTTGTTCCACCCCCCCCCTCACCTTCATCATTGTCCTCTTCATCCTCTTCTCGAAAATGCCCTGCGATAACTCCCTCCCTTGGTCCATGTGGTAACCCCACGCCCCCTCACTTCCAGCAGAAGTGAGTCACCACTCATATTCTCCCCTACCCCCCTCCACCCCCCCTCTTCCTCTCACCTTCATCATCGCCCTCTTCATCCTCTTCTCGAAGTTGCCCTGCGATAACTCCCGGCTCTGCTGGTCCTGTTAGAGGGAAGGAAACGAAAAGGGAGGACGGAGCGTAAGAGTGTGAGCTTTCCAACTATGAGACCAATGAGGGTGGCCAAAAAAAAAAAAAAAAAGTTTACGAGGAAGAGAATCCCATATCCCTGTGCAAATACAACCCAAGAGAATAAAACATGAAGAGGAGCATTTTGAATGGCATAACACGCGCCCGTGCACACACACAGAGGCACGCACTCCTCGAATCTCGTATGTGAGAAACTCCTGACAACACACCTGAACGATTTGAAGCATACCTGAATGGTAGAGAACGGTATAGAACGGTGCTGAAAGCATACCTGAACGGTGGAGAAGATGCGGAAGCTTCTGTCAAGGCCAGCCGAGAGGATGTGACGGCCGTTCCTGTAGTACCTGGTGTTGGGTGGGATGCGGTGAAAGGGGGTGCGATGCAGTGTCAGGGGGTGTGATGTTGGGGTGAGATAACTTTTGATTCAACTAAGAGGCCAGCTGAGAGAATGTGACGGCCGTCCTATAGTACCTGGTGTTGGGTGGAATGCGGTGAAAGGGGGTGCAATGCGGTGTCAGGAGGTGTGATGTTGGGGTGAGCCGTTCCTGTAGTACCTGGTGTTGGGTGGGATGCGGTATGATACAGTGAGATGGGGCGGGATGTGATGGGTTGTAATGGGGTGGGATGGGACGTGATTGGGTGCAATGGGATGGGAGGAACGTGATGAGAATGTGACGTTTGTTTAAGTCACTCGAAAATACGAGCTGATTGGACGGATGGATGGATGCATGATATGAAGGACAAAGAATCGTTTTCTCTTTGTTCCTCTGTTTTTACTCAGTAGATGCAGAGCAGCAGGGCGGCTTGCTTTGTACTCACTTGATGCAGCAGGGCGGCGAACTGTGTCCTGTGCGGTAGCGCAAGAGACGAGGGTTGTCGTCCACTGAATCAAATATCCAGATCTGATATGCGAGCAAGGAACGGGTGGGCAAAGAGAAGCGTGGGGCGGGAGGGGAGTGCGTACACAATGGGGGGAAACGGCGAGAGCAGGGAAGAGGGGGAGAGAGGGAGAAGGGGAGAGGGAGCTAACATGAGAGACAGACCTTGATGGTTATCGAGTTTTGAGACGTCTCAAACCTCGGGAAGCCTCCACGGCTGTCATGGGCGTCGGGGGTGATGGAGTGCAGGCGCTCAGTTACGCGAGGAGAGGAAATGAAGGGTTACATTACGGTGACTACAGCCATACTTTGAGGCTGTTATCAGCACCAGCCGAGAGGAGAAGCGGTTCATTCACGAGGAAGGAGAGAGCAGCCACGCGGCCATCATGGGCGTCGGGTATGATGGAGTGCAGACAGCGATCAGTTACGCGAGGGGAGGAAATGAAGGGTTACATTACGGGCGTGAGGTTACATGACTACAGCCATCATTGGCGTCGGGTATTATGGAGTGCAGACGACGGTGAGAGGGATGAGGTAGAGGGAGGCGAGGGTCAACAGAGAGACTACAGAGGCAACAGGATTACCTTGAGGCTGTTATCAGCGCCGGCAGAGAGCAGCAGGGGTTCATTCACGAGGAAGGAGAGAGCAGCCACGCGGCCATCATGGGCGTCGGGGATGATGGAGTGCAGGCGGCGGTTGGTGAGGTCCCACACGCTGATGGCGCCTCCCATGCCCCCCACTGCTAGCAGAGGTTGACCGTCTGTGAGACAAGGCAAGCAAGAGGAGGGAATGGCAAGAGCACAGGATTGAGAAAAGCTTCACGCGTTTGGAGTGCAGGCGGCGGTTGGTGAGGTCCCACACGCTGATGGCCCCTCCCATGCCCCCCACTGCTAGCAGAGGTTGACCGTCTGAAGGGAGAAGGGGGGTTGAAGGGAGGAAGGTAGCACATGAGTGCAGGCGGCGGTGGGTGGGGTGGCGTGGGGTGCCACACGCTCATGGCTCCGGCCGTTCTCCCCAGTGCTGCTAACAGTGCCCAGCCGTCTGAACGGTGAGAGTGGGAGCAGCAGAATGGAAGGAGGGCAAGAACGGGCAAGAACAGGCAACAAAGGAAAGAGAGCAGGCAGGCAGCATACTTGAGACGTCTCAAAAACTCACTTTATACACGGGGTGAGTTGAACTGCAGCAGAAGGATGAGCTGAGTTGAGTTGAAGGCCAGGGGAGTGATGATCGATCCAGCCGAATGTTATGCACGTGCACTGCACTTTGCCATCGCTGCACTGCACCCAGCTCTGCGCTGCACTCAACCGCACTTAACCACACTGAAATGCACTGTACCGTAAAAAAAAGACTGACCTGAGTTGAAGGCCAGGGAAGTGACGGCGCCAGCAGCAGCGTGGGTGAAATCCACCACCGGCTTATCCAGCCTTAGGTTATGCACATGCACCTTGCCGTCGCTGCAACCCACTGCCAGTGCACTGCACTGCACCTCATTACCACACTGAACCGCACAAGTCCGCATAGGAGGACCAACTCACCTGAGTTGAAGGCGAGGGAAGTGACGGCACCAGCAGCAGCGTGGGTGAAATCCACCACAGGTTTATCCAGCCGAATGTTATGCACTTGCACCTTACCATCGCTGCACCCCACTGCTACCGTATCCAACGCAGGCGACCGCACTGCTCACCACTGCACCTCGGCACCGCACTAAACCGCACTAACCTGAATTGAAGGCCAGGGATGTCACAGCACCGGCAGCAGCGTGGGTGAAATCCACGACGGGTTTATCCAGCCTTATGTTATGCACATGCACCTTGCCGTCGCTGCAACCCACTGCCACTGTGTCCAACGCAGGCGACCCCACTGCTCACCACTGCACCTCGGCACCGCACTAAACCGCACTAACCTGAATTGAAGGCCAGGGATGTCACAGCACCGGCAGCAGCATGGGTGAAATCCACCACTGGCTTATCCAGCCTTATGTTATGCACATGCACCTTGCCGTCGCTGCACCCCACTGCTACCGTATCCAACGCAGGCGACCCCACCAGCGCTGTTATCCCCACAGCCCACCCCTTGAACTCGTACAGAAGCTTCCTGGAATTTACGTTCCACAGCTGCATGCGCCCATCTTCGGACGCGAACAGGACCTTGTTGAGGTATGTGTCGGGGTGAATTACCCCCGTCGGGTTGAACCCCTCGGGCAGCTGAAACTGCCCGAGCGGCTCCAGAACAAACCCCCCCTGGTCAGCCCCTACTGGCTTCTTCCCCTCTTCGTTCCCACCTCTACCTCCCTCCAGTCCGTCTCTTCCCCCTCTACCCTCCTCCTCCTCCTCATTCTCTTCCCTCTCCTCCCTCCCCTCCTTCCCCTTTCCCTTCTCTCCCTCTCCCTTGGGCGCATCTCTTTGTGCCCCTCTGACCAGCCACAGGAGCACATGCCTGTGCTCGTCCACTGAGAGGAGGTATTCGCCAAACACCAGCAGCAGCTTGATCTTCGCCTTGTGGCCCTTGAGAGTTCCCACCTGATGGGGGGAGCAATAGGAGAGAAGGTAAAGAGGGGATTCTTTATGCCTATCCACTGAAATCAGGTATTCGCCAAACCCCAGCAGCAGCTTGATCTTCGCCTTGTGGCCCTTGAACGTTCCCACCTGCCAGTCAAGTCAGTACGATGGGCAAGAGGGAGGGTCAGAAAGAGAGGGGCAATGGAGGGTGCTTTAGCAGGCGGGTCAGCATTCCTGTGCATCCCGTCCCCCTCTGACCGGCCACATGAGCACGTGCCTCTGCTCGTCCACTAAGGGCGCATCACCTCGGAGCTGGAAGGGCCGAATTCGAACATATGTAACGAGTTCACTGTACGAACAGTTTCCCGACAAGATCCGAACACAAATTTGAACACCCTGGTGAATGTCACAGCTCGTGACTAGAGGTGACAGCCTGTTCGAACATGCGACGTCGCCAAGTGTTGGACGACGTCGTGAAACGTCGCAAGAAAAAATTCTAGTCGTCTGCCATTCCAGTTTGACCCATTTTTCGCCCATCCAGTCAACAAAATGTCTCTTCGTTCTTTTCTACTACTGCTCACCGTGTTCTTTCCCAGCAACAATGTCATTTTAGATGCACTTTCTCCCGCACGGCGACACTTGCAATGGTCGCAAACATTCGTATGCGACCCGAAGCCTGTTGACCAATCAAATCAGTCGTCTATGCGGAATCCCTGTCACCAATCCCAACTTGTTCGAACAACTCTGTTCGAACGTGCGAAATTTAGAGCTTCGTGCCCCATGTGACAGTTCTGTTCTGATTCGCGAAATTTCCTACTTGCGACGTCACGAACACCCAAACGAGGAGTGACGAAACATGTAACATTTCGCCTGTTCGAACGAGCGTGCTGTTCGAACTGAGAGGTGAAGCGCCCTAAGAGGAGGTATTCACCAAACACCAGCAGCAGCTTGATCTTTGCCTTGTGACCCTTGAGAGTTCCCACCTGATGGGGGGAGCAATAGGAGAGAAGGTAAAGAGGGGATTCTTTATGCCTATCCACTGAAATCAGGTATTCACCAAACACCAGCAGCAGCTTGATCTTTGCCTTGTGGACCTTCAGTGTTCCCACCTGTCCGTACAATTCGAGGGGCAAGAGGGAGGGAAAAGGATGGGCGTTCAAGGCGGGTGAAGCATGCCTGTCCGCCCCCCCCCACCGGCCACGTCAGCACAGGCCTATTCTCGTCCACTGAGGGGCACAGTCGCTGCCACACCCGTTACCCACCTGGTGCGAGCGATAAAAGACTGCAACGCCTGAGCCGTAACGAATCTAAGTCTGAGATACTGCTAACTCAACCTCCTACCTCACACACACATCCACACCCCATACCCACGCCCACACCAACTCCACAACCACAACCATTTGCACCCCGTTGCCCAGCTGGTGCGAGCGGTAGAAGGCGGCAATGTGGGTGCCGAAAGCAACAAGCAGTCAGTCATTGATGATTGGTGGTCCATCCACTTGGTGCGAAAAGTAGGCGATTAGACTGCTATTCATTCCTATTGCACCTACACCCACGCTCACAGCCCACCCACCTGGTGTGAGCGGTAAAAGACGGCAATGTCGGTGCCGAATGCAGCAAAGGTGCGGTCGCGATGAGAGGTGAGCGCACGGATCGACTTGGGAAGCTCGGTTCCTGAGAGGGTTGAGAAGTGGGTTTGATGCTTCTAGGTTTCTGGGGTTCAAGGGTTTCTGAGGCGACTCAAGTCGCAGCAGATGTGCGATGGTGATGAGAGGTGAGAGACGGATAGCCATAGGAAGTTTTTCCTGACAGGGGTTTAAAGGCACGGGTTTGGGGTTTAAGATATAAGGGCACACCTTAAAAAAGAGACATTTTTGTTTACATATTGAAGTTCGATTTAATATATTTTTGAGAACATATTCTTATAAGTCAGTAAGCGAGCGGCAGAGGTGCAGATGGGAGAGAGATAAGACTCACCAACGAAGACCAGGCGAAGCTTCGCGCACTGATTCCATTTGGAACGGCGTCACGAACGCGGAAACCATTAATCGCCCAGGTCCAGTTTCGCACGCAATGCCGGATGGGAGAAAGGGAGACAGTAAACCGTAGAGATAGGAGGGGAAGCATTGAAAGGACCGCATAGTGAATGATTGAAGGGAGGAGAAACACGATTAGACGGTAAGATACGACCAGAGAACGAAGGGCACGGGGAAGAATCGCTTAAATGCAGCTCTAGCCTGTGGTACTGAGCGGCAGACTTTGTAACACGAACCCTGAACTACCACTGCTAGCCCGAAACCGTCATGACAACACCGTAGATTCTCATACGTACGTTGTAGATTTGCCAGGCGCGACCGACGCTAACGGTCACATACGTCTCGGTTCCCACCCGCCGTACGGAGAACGGCGTGTCATCTGTTATGTAGCCTATCGCCCTGAACGGCTGGAACAACGGCATGGCTCCCTCCCTGTCACTCTGGGTAAAACAATTCTCGAGGAAAACCTTGTCGAAGATCAAGCCTGAGCTGACTACTGCGACGCTGACCCGACGCGGTTGGCACCGAATTACTAAGACTGGGCCCCTGTCGAATCTTCCCTAGCTCTCTGAAGGGTTCTAATTTCTGAACACACCTAAAACCTTGATGCGGCAATAGTGAATTTCGCTTTTGGGAATTATCTGCATCAGGTTAAATACTGTTTCCTTCTCGAGGCAAACCATATTGCACACCAACTCAGCATGGAAATCTTTCTTTGATTTAAAATAGCCGGATAATTATTTTAATATGAATGGAAGGCAGAAATCCGGCATCAATTTGATAATACTTACTGCTGCCTTAAATTGAATAGAGAACTCAGATACTAATACATTGTACCATTCATATTGTAGATTGACATGTTCATTATAACGGCATGTGGGGGCTGGGTGTGGTGGAGCTTTTGTTGCAGCTATTGCTGCCTGCGGGATCCGCGTCGTCAAAGTGTCGCTTCGAGGACCCGCACCTAGACCAACCGGCACGCCACCTGATTGGCCAGTGGGCGACCTTCATATGCTGCCCTGGTTCATCGAACCTATCAGCCTCGGCGCGGCGGTTTGGGCCGGGGCTTGAGAAGTCAAAATGCCCCGCCATGGTTCACCGAGCCAGACCTGACCACCGCTCTGCAGATCGGGAAGTGGCAGGTTTGTTGAACTTGGTTTGCTGGACTTTTGTTGGCTGCGGCGGGCCGAGCCGAGATTCAACCAAACCAACCATTGGGATAAAAGCTGATGCCCTGGTGTTGCCGAAATTGACCACTCGAACCCCATCCAGCCACGGTATCATCTCAGCCGACCTTTCTGAGTCGCACAAATGTGAACTCTCATAACCAGCCACTTCATTTTCACGTTCATGAGAGATCACATTTGTGCCAGCCTGACTGTACTCCACCCAATCTCCATTTGATTTCTAATCTCGCCTCTTGCCTTACCACAATTTCTCCTCTGCCTGCTATCTGCTGGTAGTTCTCCTCCGTTCTATCGTGATTTCGTTCTCGTTCAATCACCTCCCACACCGGAATGGCGACTTCCGACGAAACCAAGGGCCTTCGCCCTCCGTCGACCACGATCGCGACTGACATGACTCAGGCGAGTCGCTTTTACGCCAGCGTAACGCTTTCAGCACGCTTACCGAATTCCGCTTGAATGATCGCGGGATCGTTTTGAAAGAATGGGAAATATATATTTCATAATTGCCGTTCCTAATGTGCCGTAAATTGCATTTGCTATGCAGTTGGTCGGCAAGACCCCCATGGTGTATTTGAACAAGGTGACGGAAGGATGTGTGGCCAACATTGCGGCCAAGCTGGAGATTATGGAGCCCTGCTGCAGCGTCAAGGATCGGTACGCACCGAATGCATGTCATGCTCATATCGCGTATGTCGTGTCTCATTGTTTAGGCCAACATTGCGGGCAAGCTTGAAATCGTGGAACCCTGCTGCAGCGACAAGGACCGGTACGTCTGTCTTTGAATGTCGTGTTTGCTGGTGTCGTATTCACATCGTGTACCGTGATCTGGCGAACAGCGTCAATGACTGTACGTTCGATATGCATGTCGTGTGTTCTTGGATTCGTGTTATGCTGTCTTAATCCCGTACATTGGGGAGAATTTCGAGAACGCTCTCCATGTATGGGTGTCTGCGTCGCCAGGGTGTGACGTGTGTGTGTTTGACTTCTGCTACTTTCAGCATCTATAAGTTGCCTTATTTTCGCTTGTGAGAAAGTCTGCTTGCTCCTCGTTTGTTCATACGTGAGTGTGTGTGTTTCGCTTTCCATGTTTGCGTACATGTGCGAATCCCACCCTGGACAGTATCGCCGTGAGCATGATCACAGACGCGGAAGAGAAGGGCCTCATTACTCCAGGCAAGGTACGGTACGGAGTTTCGACATGCTTCTCTAAAAGTCTAGCCGTTACAACTCGCACCAGCCTTTATGGCGGGGCACAGCTGGTTCAGGTCGCACTCGATGCTGCACTTTCTGGAATCCGCGTGTGTTGCTGCGTGCGAACCACCCTTTTCCTGTTCCCTCTTCCATTCATTTCCCCCCTCCCACCCCCAACAGAGCGCGCTGGTGGAGCCGACGAGTGGCAACACGGGCGTCGGGCTCACCTTTGTGGTCAGGTCGTTGCTGATGCTGCTGCTGCTGCTGCTGGTGCTGATGTGTATATGTCCCTTTCCCCTGTTCCCTTCATTCTTCTCCGGCCCCTTTCCCCCTCCCAAACAGAGCGTGCTGGTGGAGCCCACCAGCGGCAACACGGGCATCGGGTTGGCCTTCGTGGCGACAGCGAGGGGCTACCAGCTCACCCTCACCATGCCCGCCTCCATGAGCCTCGAGCGCCGCGTGCTGCTGCGCGCGTTCGGGGCAGAGCTGATTCGTACCTACCTGATGATGCTATTTCTGCTCCCGAATCTCCTCTTCCTGTTCCCTCCCCCACTTTCCCCGTCTTCTTCCCTTTCCCTTCCTCGCCTCCCTTCAAAAAGAGCGTGCTGGTGGAGCCGACCAGCGACAACACGGGCATCGGGTTGGCCTTTGTGGCGGCAGCGAGGGGCTACCAGCTCACCCTCACCATGCCCGCCTCCATGAGCCTCGAGCGCCGTGCGCTGCTCTGCGGAGACAGGCCATAGCTGGTTCAGCGCGCACCTGGTTCAGCGCGCACCTGATGCTGCTGCTGCGTGTGAATCTCCCTTTTCTTTATGGCCTCCCTCCAACCAACCCCCTCCCTCCTTCCCATAACAGAGTGTGCTGGTGGAGCCGACGAGTGGCAACACGGGCATCGGTCTCGCCTTCGTGGCGGCAGCGAGGGGTTACAAGCTCACCCTCACCATGCCCGCCTCCATGAGCCTCGAGCGCCGCGTGCTGCTGCGCGCATTCGGAGCGGATCTGGTTCTGACAGACCCCGCCAAGGGCATGAAGGGCGCGATCCAGAAGGCGGAGGAGATTGTTGCGAGTACTGAAGGCGCTTACATGCTGCAGCAGTTTGAAAACCCGGCGAACCCCAAGGTGAGAAACCCAGCAATCCCAAGTTGAAGATGAGGGGTGTGTGTGAGACGGGATGATCCCAAAGGTGCTGACAGACCCCGCCAAGGGCATGAAGGGCGCGATTGCGAAGGCGGAGGAGATTCTGGCGAATACTGAAGGCGCTTATATGCTGCAGCAGTTTGAGAACCCGGCCAATCCCAAGGTGAGAGCTGAGGGTGTGTGCGAGGCGAGGTAATCCCAAGGTGAGAAAGAGTGAGGTAATCCCAAGGTGAGAAAGAGTGAGGTAATCCCAAGGTGTGATGCGAGGTAAGGGGCTACCAGCCCACCCTCACCATGCCCGCCTCCATGAGCCTCGAGCGCCGCGTGCTGCTCCGTGCGTTTGGGGCGGATCTGGTGCTGACAGACCCCGCCAAGGGCATGAAGGGCGCGATCCAGAAGGCGGAGGAGATTGTTGCGAGCAGTGAAGGCGCTTATATGCTGCAGCAGTTTGAAAAAACGGCCAATCCCAAGGTGAGAAACCCAGACATCTATAGGTGAGGAACTCAGCAATTCCAAGGCAAGGAATTAAGGTGTGAACCTGTCATACACAAAGGTCAGAGAGAGCGCACTGTGGGGAAAGAGGGGCGTGTGTGAGGCGAGGTAGTTCCAAAAATTTTGCCCGCTGAAGGTGCCTTACCTCGTTTTCCGCGGTTCCACCCTCTTCTAACTCCCTAGGTGCAGTTTAAGACATTGGGTCCCGAGATCTGGGAGGGTTCAAACGGCCTCGCGGACATTCTGGTGTCTGCGGACCAGCCCTTCCTCCTGACTATGATTGTACTGTGTGCTCCTCCTCCTGTCCCCTTTACTCGGGTCCACTGGCCACATGGACATTTTCCTGACTTACTGAGCGTGGTACCTTTGTTTCACTCAGCTCTGCTCGTCCATCTGTCTTCCCTCCCTTACCCCACCTCACCATAGCGCACTTTGAAACAACGGGGCCGAAGGGCTCGAACAGCTATGTTGACATTCCGGTGTCTTCCCACCTCTGGCCTCTAAACCTCCACTCCCCCACTCCTGCTCTCTCCCTTCCCTACTCAGGTGCACTTTGAGACGACGGGCCCGGAGATCTGGGAGGGCTCGAACGGCCATGTTGATATTCTGGTGTCTGGGATCGGCACGGGCGGCACCGTCACAGGCGCTGGGAGGTTCCTGCGGAGCAAGAACCCGGATGTGAAGGTGGGTCTCGCTTCTTCTCCATTCTTTCTTGTCATGGGTCACGGGTCATGTATCTCACGTCTACATTCTGGTGTTGGGGTCGGCACACGGGCGGCACAGTCACAGGCCGGTTCCTTCGGAGCAAGAATCCGGATGTGAAGGTGAGGTCTCTTTACTCAAGCCCAGGTGGGGCTGCTCACTCTCTATGAGGCGGCATGCGTGGGGATCTGGGAGGCCACAAACGGCCACGTGGGCATTCTGGTGTCGGGGATCGGCACTGGCGGCACCATCATAGGCGCTGCGAGGTTCCTCCGGAGCAAGAACTCGGATGTGAAGGTGAGACGTTTTTGTTCTTCCCTCTTTTTTGTCATGGTTCATGGACTCATGGGTCATGGGTCACGGGTCATGGGTCATGGGTCATGGGTCATGGGTCATGGGTCATGGGTCATGGGTCATGGGTCATGGGTCATGGGTCATGGGTCATGGGTCATGGGTCATGGGTCATGGGTCATGGGTCATGGGTTCGGGTCATGGGTCACAGGTCATGGGTCACGGGTCATGGGTTCGGGTCATGGGTCACAGGCCATGGGTCACGGGTCATGGGTCGGTCATGGGTCACGGGTCATGGGTCACGGGTCATGGGTCACGGGTCATGGGTCACGGGTCATGGGTCACGGGTCATGGGTCACATGAGCATTCTGGTGTCGGGAATTGGCAAGGCCGGCGCCATCACAGGCGCTTGGAGGTTCCTTCGGAGCGAAAATTCAGAAGTGAAGGTGAGGTTTCATTTCTTAAGCCCAGAGCAGGCGTCTTGACTCACTTTGAAACTTCAGGGCTTGATTATCTCTTGGTAACTGTTCCCTGCTTTTGAGTCGACTCAAACGTCAGGGCTCGATTATCTCTTGGTAACTGTTCCCTGCTTTTGAGTCGACTCAAACGTCAGGGCCCGATTATCTCTTGGTAACTGTTCCCTGATTTTCTCTGCTCTGATTATTTGCAGCTTGTGGGAGTGGAGCCCAAGGAAAGCCCTGTCATCTCAGGTGGAAAGCCAGGTGAGAACAACAGCTGTACACAAGTATGCCCATCTTCATGTCAGTTCGCATGGTCTTTTGCATCTGCATGCCCGTCTGCATGCCCATCAGCCTTTCAATCCAATCCTCCTCGCCACTTTCTTATGCCAAGCTCCCCCTCCACTCCACTTGAAGTCACAGCTGCTATTCGCTCTCCATGCCCACACCGCACTTTAACAGCCATCTCGTCCTCCTTTTGTTCCGGGGCATAGCCGCCAGCTCTGTGCATGAGAGCCCTATTCTCTCTTTCTCTCTCCCTCCTCTCAGCAAGTCTCCCTCCCTACCCTCTCACCCCACCGATCCCGCCCCTCCACCCAGGCCCACACAAGATCCAGGGCATAGGTGCGGGTTTTGTGCCTGGAGTGCTGGACGTGGGGCTGCTCAGCGAAGTGGTGCAGGTAAGGGGGGCTGCTGGTAGGGGGCGCTGCTTGGCTCGTGCAGGAGAGTGAAGCTTTATTGCATAAGGATGTAGCATAGGTGCGGGTTTTGTGCCTGGAGTGCTGGACGTGGGGCTGCTCAGCGAAGTGGTGCAGGTAAGGGGGGCTGCTGGTAGGGGGCGCTGCTTGGCTCGTGCAGGAGAGTGAAGCTTTATTGCATAAGGGTGTAGCATAGGTGCGGGTTTTGTGCCTGGAGTGCTGGACGTGGGGCTGCTCAGCAAAGTGGTGCAGGTAAGGGGGGCTGCTGGTAGGGGGCGCTGCTTGGCTCGTGCAGGAGAGTGAAGCTTTATTGCATAAGGATGTAGCATAGGTGCGGGTTTTGTGCCTGGTGCTGGACGTGGGGCTGCTCAGCGAAGTGGTTCAGGTACGCGTTGTTTTGAGAGTCATTGGGTGTGGTTCAGGTAAGTGGGGCTGCTAGGGTAATTGGCTACAATTATAAGGTCACTCGAACGTGCCGGGAGTGCTGGCCGTGGGGCTGCTGAGCGAATTGGTGCAGGTAAGCGTTTTGTTCAGGTAAGTGCAGTTTCTGGGGCAGCTGGGTAGAGCTCGGATGTGCCAGGAGTGCTGGATGTGGGGCTGCTTAGTGAAGTAGTTGAGGAAAGTGTTTGTCTGAATGTGATCCTTTTGGGCTGCTTGGTGAGGGGCATCCTTCCCTTCCGATCGTGTTGAGTTTACTTTTGAGAATTCTCAAGAGTGCTGGATGTGGGGCTGTTTAGTGAAGCAGTTGAGGAAGGTGCTTGTCTGAGTGTGATCCTTTTGGGCTGTTTGGTGAGGGGCATCTGTCTCTGCCAATCTTAGGGCTCTCTGTCATCTCTCTAACCAAGTGTCCAAGTGTCCCAAGTGTCCTTTTGGGCTGTTTACTCTGCTGGTGCTCGTCTCTCTGAACAAGTGTCCAGTGACAAAATCTGTAAAAGAGGTTCTAGAACGTTAAATAAAACACCCTGTTTTCACTCCTCCCTTTCTATTTCTCTGACCAGGTGTCCAGTGACGAAGCAGTGGAGATGGCAAAGCAGCTCGCGCAGAAGGAAGGGCTGCTGGTAAGTGCCATTAGCAGAAGTGGTGCGGTGCAGGTGAGATGGTATCGTCGTGCGGTCGAGATGGTTCTGTGCGGTTGGGATGGTCTTGTCTGCATCCTTGTGGCATATAGCCACGGTTGAGATGGTGTGACCGTAATGACCTACAGTATCATGCTGTCTTCATTCTATATTGGATTTCCATTTTGTAACCACGCAGGCGGTGCATACCACCCGGTGCAATCATTGTTGCATGGTGTGTTGCGTTCCCCACTGCCTACCAACTCTCATTGAATTGTCTCTGAAGTCACATGTTTCCAAACCTTGCTCCCTGCGTGACTCTTGTTTTCTTTCCTGCAGGTGGGAATTTCATCCGGGGCAGCAGTCGTGGCAGCGATTGAAGTGGCCAAACGGCCGGAGAACGCTGGGAAGCTCATTGTGGTACGTCATGTGCCAGCCGAATTTATAATTTGCGCAGTCCATTTTCAGAACTGTGGGGTTGTTTTTCAGTTTGCCTTTTCTTTCTTCAAGGAGTCGTCTCTGTGCTCTTTGTTTTCGTTTGCACTGCTCTGCTAGGTGGTGCTGCCAAGCTTTGGTGAGCGGTACCTTTCCTCGGTCCTCTTCTCCTCTCTCCGCGACGAGGCGCTGGCCATGCAGCATGCATAAGCAAGAAATGGCATGGAGGTGGTTTCAGTTAAGACCGTTCCCAGCTCCCCGATCATTCTAGGGGAAATATCCTATTACCGTAAATGGATCCTGGCTATGTTACCATGGATCATAAATGATCTTAGGTATGGTATTATGTTTCCAAGGTACGGTAAGATTAGTAATTAAATATCCAGCCCAACAATAGAGCAGAGAAGCTGAAGAACACACAGCTGTGTATGTTTAGCGAAACAGAGATTCCTCCTGCTTCTGTGTTATCAATCAGCAGTTGGGAATACAGCAGCATATTTTGCAAGTTGTCAGATCCTACCTGCGGTATCTTGACAAAGAAACTTGCTCTTCCAGATCCTAAAATACACCCAGTTGCTTACCCAGCACTAAAGCAATCAATCATGCAAGCAACTAGGAAGGGTAGGTGTTGCATATGCAAGCAACCCAACCATTCTCCATCCTTTCCCTTCGCTGCCACCAAAACCACCCCCCTGTTAGGTACCAAAACCACCCCTCTATTAGGTACCTAAACCTAAAATCCTGTCCTGTAGCATTCCCCCCCCTCCCTTTTCCTGCACAAACGATTCCTTCCCCACTTTCCTCTGTTCTGCCATCGCTCCACACCGTCCCCCCCTCCCCCCTCCGCTCTGCAACAACTGCTACTTTGCCCACCCATCCACCTCCCCTGTCCTCATCCGTCTCGCCTGTCACCTTACCCTCCACCTCCCCGCTTCCCCCTCACCGCCCCCTGCTGCTCCTCCTACCACCTTCTCCTACCTCCGAAACCTCCCCTTCCCCTCTCTCTCCTCTCCTCCCACTCCTCCTGCCACGCATCCCACACCTCCCCATCATCCTCACGAGGCGCATACCTTTCCAATTCTCCCTCACCCGCCTCCTTCGATCCTCCTCATCCTCCCCATCGTCCTCCTCATTCCCCACATCGTCAACCTCATACTCTTCCTCCTCCTGCTCATCCTCCTCGTCTTGCCAGCGAGGCATGCCCCACCTCCCCAACTCATCCGCTGCCCCCAACCTCAAATGCCTCTGCCACCCATCACCATCAGCACTGTTGCCATCGCTGTCGTCGTTGTCGTCACCGTCCTCCCACTCCTCATCTTCACTCTCTCCCTCCTCCACTGCCCCCAACCTCCAATGCCTCTCCCACCAGTCGCCACCAACACTGTTGCCATCATCATTATCGTAGTCATCGTCGACTTCATCATCCTCCCACTCCTCATCTTCGCTCTCTCCCTCCTCCTCTACTGCCCCGTCTGGCATCGTATTGGCAAGTAAGACAGCAGCGCAAAGCGCAGTGGTACTTATACTGCCCTGGCTGTTGGTAACACGGATGGGCCCATGGCACCACCTCCTCCGCTCCTCCGCTCCACCCAAGATCAACTGCCTCTTCCACCCGTCCCCGTCGTCGTCGTCCCCATCGTCATTTTCACTGCCATCGTCACCATCTTCCTCCTCATCATCGTTGTCATTGTCGCTATCACTACCATCATTGCCGCCATCCTCCTCCCCATAGTCGTCATCCTCCTCCTCCCCATAGTCGTCATCCTCCTCCTCCCCATTGTCGTCATCCTCCTCCTCCCCATAGTCGTCATCCTCCTCCTCCCCATAGTCGTCATCCTCCTCGTCCCCATAGTCGTCATCCTCCTCGTCCCCATAGTCGTCATCCTCCTCCTCCCCATAGTCGTCATCCTCCTCCTCCTTCCCATCGTCGTCATCCTCCTCCTCCCCATAGTCGTCATCCTCCTCCTCCCCATAGTCGTCATCCTCCTCCTCCCCATAGTTGTCGTCCTCCTCCTCCCACTCCTCACCTTCGCTCTCTCCCTCCTCCTCTACTGCCCCTTCTGGCGCCCACCAATTGGCAGCGGCGAGCAGGGCAGCAGCGCCCAACATGGAGCCAGCGAAGGCTGCACCTGTCGGGCCATGGCTGCTGGTGAAACAGACGAAGCGGATAAGGGAGCCACGGCGAGGGGTAAGTAGCGCAGAAATAAGGAAGAAAAACAGCACTTGATGCCATAAATTGGATCGTTGCTGCTCTGACCATGCATGCAAACGCCGGATGAACTTTTTTTCATTCCGAGAAATTATAACATTCGCTAACAATTGCAGAATCTACACCCAGTATTCAGAACTTCTCCAGAGCATTAGATTTCTTGCCATATGCAGCCATGATGCCAGGCTGTGTCGATGCAATGCCCTGCTGCTCTGACTAAAAAAAGGGTCTTGTTTTCTAGGCGCCTAAAGAAACACCTTGGGATGCAGACTTTTGATATGCACAAACAAAACGTCTATTTGTTTTTGCGCCTGAGAAAGGGACTGCCTATGCAATGCCCTTCCCGCGAATCTCACCCATGAGGGATTGCGCGGAGCAGGAGGCGAGGGCTGTACGGCATACCAAGTACTGATGCTGCTGCTACGACCGTGCCCACAACGATCAGCCAGAAATATGACATTGGAAAACGAACGGCTAGAATGAAATCACAAGAGGAGGTTCAAGGAGCAGGAGACGCGAGCGCGAGAGTGGACACGAATGACTGAGTTCCCAAACCTAGTCTCGCCGATTCTAGAAACAAAGCTTTGCTGGGAATTTCTTTCAGGCGCCTCTGATAACGTTTTGCTGAGGCAAGGAAATGCGAAAGATAGATGCCATCGCCGAATGGGATGAGGGGGGGAGCGAGAACAGCTATCGAGCTGGAAAGTTACAGTGACAAGGGCAACTGGGATGCGCGGGAGGGTCGTGACTTCCACTCCAAGCCACCAGAACTCGGCGGAAACGCCTTGGTTCGAATTTGCTCCATGCACGCGCATCCATGTTTGAGGCTTCGAAGCTTGATTCGGCTACGCTCCGTGCACATGCACGCGTAGTTGAGAGACGGGACAAGCAAGGCGAGAAGAGACACCCTGGCGGGGAAATAAGAAATGAGAAAAGAGAGCGAGAAAAGGAAAATGTAAACACGACAGGGAGCGAATGAGCCTAATGAGCTCCATGATACTCTGGTACGGGAAAGAGCAATGGATTGGGGATGGAGAGGGAGTAAGGTCGGGAAGGAAGTGAGTAAAAATGTTAGGAGAAAGCGCGCCCGTCGAGCCTCCACCAAGGGGAATACAAAAACACACTCTGGAAAACTTCGCGCGCAAGATCCGCCGTGGCGGCATGCAGGGCCATGAGCGAATAGACAGACATATACGTCAAGTGTCAGCGTTCAGGAATGCGAGGAGAGGAGACAGACCAGTACGGCGTGGGATTTCCGTGACGAGTGCGTGCCAGGGGTTTGGAGCAGTTCTCAACACAAAGTTGCGTTTCTGTGCGTTTCAGATAGGTGGTATGGGGTGACAAAAATCGTCGACATGTAGGGCACTGTCCTTGGGACGGGTCCCTACAAGTATGTATGCGGCTCAATGATGCTCGACACGAAGTCAAAGTCAGCGGATTGATGACAAGTGTCACATTATGTATAATCGTACACTACGATAATTTTGAAGCTAATCTACTTCAGGAAGTATGACATGACAGCATCCCTAGTGCTCATACCTTGTCTTGCACCAAGGGTCCCACCTGCACAAGGGAGATTCAAATTCAAAGGAACTTCTATAGAAATACCATAGGTGAAATTGATAACAAAATCTAGTGAGCAAGTAGAAACGCATTATGGCATATTGTTACCAGCTAGTAGCACACAAAACACACCAAACCAGCTAGCACTTGTTACCACTGTTAGTGAGAGTGCGTGACCGATTCGGTCCTCCACTTAGTCAAACATAAACACACTCTGCCCCATACATCTTCTCTTTACCTTGCATCCTCCCCTCCACACCCGCACACCCTTCTCCCTCTCATCCTCCCCTCTATATATATTACTCCCTTTTCTCCCCCCTCCCCCCCCAACCTCTTTCCTCACCCTCTCCTGCCCCTGACGCCTTCCCCACTCCTTTCCTCTCCTCCCACAACAACCCCCAGTCAACCTTTTTCCTTCAATGTCAACTAGCATTCCCCCGTCCAAAGAGCCCGTCCCCTGTGCGCACTTTCTCAATAAAATCGCTGTGTCGACTCAATAGCGAGATTATCCTGACCTAAGCAGGGATTGTAATTATCTTCATTGAAATTGGCCTCTCTCAAGAGGACTCAAAGGGAGTTTCTCCTGGCCTAAGAGGACGCCCATTGTGCCATCTTACAGGAATCGGCCTTCCTTGATTATCTAGAAAAGGTATTCTATTCTCCCTCAAATTTTCCCGCCAGTCGCCCAGCTCCCATTCCATTTCCGCCTCCCATCCATACGCCCTCCCCTCTTCATCATATCCCTCCTCCTCCGACCCTGTTTCATCCATCTCCTCTTCCTCTTCCCAACCACCATCAACGTTCTCCCATCCTCCTCCATCCTCCCACCCTCTCCCCCTCCTCCTCTCCTCCTCCTCCTCCTCCTCCTCCTCCTCCTCCTCCTCCTCCTCCTCCTCCTCCTCCTCCTCCTCCTCCTCCTCCCCCCCCTCCCCCCTCCCATGCACCTTGTACACTATCCCATCTAAACCCTTCCACACTCCACCTCTCCTCACCATTGTCGTTTTCTTCCCTCCCCTCCCCTTCAGCTACACCCACAAGCCCTTCACTAAAAGCAAGTGCATCCGTTCTCCCTCCTCTGCATCCTCTGCCCCCTCTTCCTCCTCTCCCTCCTCTCCCTCCGGTCCCTCCTCTCCCTCCTCTACCTCCTCTACCTCCTCTACCTCCTCTCCCCCTCTCCCCCTCCCATCCCCTCCTCCCCCCACCGGCACTTTCTGCACCCGAATCATCCTCGCCTTCTCTTTCCCGCACAACCCTCCTAGGCGCTCTTTTTCGCTTTGGCCTCTCAAACCCCACTGCTCCTCCCACTTCACCCATCCCTCCCCCATTCACTCCCGCTGTCACCCCTCTCGTCATCCCCCCAATCTCTCCCACCTCCCTCCCCTCACCAGCCACCTCCTCTCCTCCTCCCCCTCCCTCCTCTCTCCCCTCCTCTCCCATCTCCTCCCCCTCCTGCCCCGGCCGCCACTCCCGCCATGTCTTCCACTTGCCCTGCATGATCAGCCTCATCGCCCGATCCATCCCCATCTCTCTCAACCGCTCTCTCTCCTCCTCCGTGATATACTCATACGCTTTCTTCCTCCTTCTCCCCAGCACGAAATGAATCGCCTCCGCTGCCGCTGCCGCCTCCTCTCCTTCCTCCCTGTCCCACCGCGCGCAGTAGAGCTGTTCTCCCAGCCCGTACCGCTGCTTGAGTGCGGCTGAGATGTGCAGACGGATCTCCCACTTGTTGTAGCGGAACGACACGCCGAAATACTTCTGCGGGACGCAATACTCCTGCTGCTGCTGCTGCTGCTGCTGCTGCTGCTGCTGCTGCTGCTGCTGCTGCTGCTGCTGCTGCTGCTGCTGCTGCTGCTGCTGCTGCTGCTGCTGCTGCTGCTGCTGCTGCTGCTGCTGCTGCTGTCGTTCCTCCTCACCACCCTGCGGTTCCCGCTGCTGCTGCTCATGCGATTGAAAACCAGTGGGACCAGGAGCAGCTGGCACAGTCCTCTGAGCGGGTTCAGGCATGGCAGGAGCAGAGGGCGCGAGAGGAGTGGAGCGAGCGCGACAAGTGTTGCGAGCGCGGGGAGTGTTGCGAGTGGTGGGGCGACCGCGACGACGCCTGGAGCGAGGGGGAGGATTCAAGAGAGCAAGCAGTTCTGCAGCCTCCTCGTTATTTGCTGTGGCGAACGGGGTGCAGAGAGCGAGCAAGTGGGAGGGCGAAACACATTCGACGTCCCGGTCGCCTGCCCGAGGAGCCCGGTGGGAAGCAGCCCGAGAAACGCGGGAAGGTGAAGAAACACGGAACCGGGAGGCAAGAGCGAGGGCTTTAACAGGGATGCCAGCCGCATTTGCCTCGCGGACAGACTTGGAAGCTGAGCCTAGGGATAATCCTGCGGCGGCAGTGGCAGTTGCATGCAACTCCTGCTCCTCGCCCCACCAGGGACGCCACTGCTGCCATATCACCCACCGCTTCTTCTTGATCAGCTCTGCTGCTTTCGCTTTCCCCATCTCTATCAACCGCTCTTTATCCCTTCCTGAAAGAAAGTCATATACGCGATCGACCCCGCTCTTCCCCCTGGTTCCTGCTCCCCCTCCTCCCCCTCCTCCTCCCCCTGCCGCCCCCCCTCCCTCTCCTGCTCCTTCCCCCGCTCCTCCCCCTTTAAGCACAAAATACGCTGCTTCTGCTGCTGCAGCAGCGTCCTCCACCTGATTCTTAGGCCAGCGGCCGCAGTACCACTGCGTGCTCACGCCATACCGCTGCTGCTCCGCCTTGGTGGCTGTGAGAAACACCTGCCACGCGTTGCGGTACCAGGTCACTCCAAAGTAGCGCTTGGTGGAGGGCCAGGGGGTTGGGCTGTCACACGCCAGGCGACGGGGGGAGCCGATGCGAGGCGGGTTGGGGCGGGGTGGGTTGGCGTGAGGGGGGTTGGTGGGGTTGGCATGAGGGGGGTTGGAGTGAGGGGGGTTGGGGAAGGTGGGGTTGGAGTGAGGGGGGTTGGGAGAGGTAGGGGGGGTGGAGCGAGGGGGCGTGGGTTGAGGGAGAGCGGGATAAGGGGGGCTGGGATGACGGGGGCTGACCTCGTAAGAGCGGGTGTTGGACTGAGAGGGAGAGACGGGCATGTCTTGTTGTCGCAGAGAGGGCTGGTCAGAGGGCTGTGAGGAGGGCTGGTCAGAGGGCTGTGAGGAGGGCTGGTCAGAGGGCTGTGAGAAGGGGGACTCGTCAATGCAAGGCATGGGCAGCAAGGGTTGTGCGGGCTGCACGGGTTGTGCGGGGTTTGAGGGTTGTGAGAGCTGCAAGGGGAGTGAGGAGGGCGATTCATTGACACTAGGCGGGTGGATTCCTTGACCGCCGGTCATTGCCCTTTGAGGTGGAGCTTGCTGCGCCGAACCTGCCACTGTGGCTCGGTGGGTGGGTTGACCAGAGGAGGTTCGGATGGCAGGCAAAGGGGCGGCGACAGAAGCGGCGGCAGGAGAAGGGGCGGTGGGAGCAGGGGTGGCACGAGAAGCGGCAGCACGAGAAGGGGCAGCACGAGAAGGGGCGGCACGAGTACGTGCAGGAAAACTGAAAGGTGCAGACACACGAGTAATAGGCACTAGAACGGTGCGTGGGGGGATGTTGGATGGGACCGATGGGGGGCGCGCAGTTGTCACAACAGTCAGAGGGCGAGAGGATGGGACAGAAGCCGGAAAACGGGGGAGAGTGAGGGGTGATGCTGTAGTTTCTATGACAGTTATGGCTCCTGTAGCAGCTGGAGCTCCAGTAACGGCTGTAGAGACTGTAGGTCCTGCAGCAGCTGAAGCTCCTGCAGCAGTCATAGCCCCTGTGGCAGCTGTAGCTCCTGCAGCAGTCATAGCCCATGTGGCAGCTGTAGCTCCTGCAGCAGCTGCAGTAGGTGAAGTTCCTGTAAACGTTGGAGCTCTAGCGGTTGTACCTCCTGTAGCTCCGGTTGCAACTGTAGCTGCTGTTGCAGCTCTAACTGCTGTTACAGTTGTAGCTGCTGGAGCAGCGGTAGCTCCTGAAGTAGTAGCAGCAGCACTTGCAGAAGCTGCGGTTCCTGTTCTGGTTCCTGTAGCGGCTGCTGCAACAGCTGTAGCTGCTCTTGCAGCTGTAGGTCCTGTAGCAGCAGCAGAGGCAGCACCAGCAGCAGCAGCAGCAGCACGTGTAGGAGCTGCGGTTCCTGTTCTGGTTCCTGTCGCGGCTGCTGCACCTGTAACAGTTGTAGCTCCTGCAGCAGCAACAGCAGCACTTGCAGAAGCTGCGGGTCCTGTTCTGGTTCTTGTCGCGGCTGCTGCACCTGTAACAGCTCTAGCTCCTGTAGCAGCAGCAGCAGCAGCAGCAGCACGTGTAGGAGCTGCGGTTCCTGTTCTGGTTCCTGTCGTGGCTGCTGCAACAGTTGTACCTGCTGCTCCTGTAGTAGCAGCAGCAACTGCAGCACGTGTAGGAGCTGCGGTTCCTGTTCTGGTTCCTGTAGCAGCTGCTGCACCCGTTACAGTTGTAGCTCCTGTTACAGCTCTAGCTCCTGTAGTAGCAGCAGCAGCAGCAAGTCTAGGAGCTGCTGTTCCTGTTCTGGTTCCTGTAGCGGCTGCAGCACCTGTAACAGTTGTACCTGCTGTTGCAGGTCTAGCTCCTGTAGCAGCAACAGCAGCAGCAGCACTTGTAGGAGCTGCCGTTCCTGTTCTGGTTCCTGTAGCGGTTGCAGCACCTGTAACAGTTGTAGCTCCTGTTGCAGCTCTAGCTCCTGTAGTAGCAGCAGCAGCATTTGTAGAAGCTGCGATTCCTGTTCTGGTTCCTGTAACGGTAGCTGCACCCGTTACAGCTCCTGTTACAGCTCTAGCTCCTGTAGTAGCAGCAGCAGCACTTGCAGAAGCTGCGGGTCGTGTTCTAGTTCCTGTAGCGACTGCAGCACCTGAAACCGCATTACCTGCTGCAGCGGCTGTAGCTGCTACAGCTCCGTCAACGGCTGTAGCGCCTGTAGCGGCCGCAGCTGCTCCAGTGTGGCCCTGTAAGGCCTTGCTGATTAGGTCATGCACGCGAATCAGATCCTCCTTCCCCATTGCCCCCAGATTTACAGCCTTTGTAACCATACCAATGATGTCTCCTCCCCCTCCTCCTCCTCCTCCTCCTCCTCCTCCTCCTCCTCCTCCTCCTCCTCCTCCTCCTCCTCCTCCTCCTCCTCCTCCTCCTCCTCCTCCTCCTCCTCCTCCTCCTCCTCCTCCTCCTCCGCCTCCTCCTACACCACCCTCTCCTCCTTCCCCTCCTCCTCCCCCTCCATCGCTCCCTCCTCCTCCCACTGCTGCTTGATTCATCCTCCTTACTTCAAAGCAATGATTTTGAGGCGCCTAAAAAAATCGCCTCTTTATTCTAGCCCGATGAGCTCTTGATACTAATCGAGTATTGGTGGTCCTGAGTGCCTTAATGCCTGTGTGCGTTACTGGCTGTGCTTTTTACTGGCCGTGTGCATCTCTGTGCGTTACTGGTTGTGCACATTACTGTCTGTGCGCGTTACTGTATGTGCGCGTTACTGCCTGTGCACATTACTGTCTGTGTGTTGCACGCGTTACTGTGCGCAGTACTAGCGGTGTGCATTATAGATGTCACTTTCCGTAGCGACAAATAAGACACAAAATCCAGGGACCTAAAAAATGTTTTTGGTGCAAATAACAATGATAAAAAAAGACTCAAGAGCTCCAGTTAGTAGATTAGGAATGTCGGTCCGTGACTGTCTGAGGAAAAATACCGTAAGCTTTTTTAGGAAAGAAAAATGCCTGTAACGCGTTTAGTAAAAACGCATTCCCAGAAATTACCGTAAGCGAGCAATAAGGACGTACTGTCTGGAAAAAAATACCATAAACGTCCAATAAGGACCTATTGCCTGAAAATACCGCCAGCGATCAATAAGGAAGTGTTGCGTGAAGCTATCGCAGTAAGGACGTGTTGCGTGAAGCTATCGCAGTAAGGACGCATTGCGTGAAGCTATCGCAGTAAGGACGTGTTGCGTGAAGCTATCGCAGTAAGGACGTGTTGCGTGAAGCTATCGCAGAAGGACGTGTTGCGTGAAGCTATCGCAGTAAGGACGTATTGCGTGAAAATAATGACCTTCGTTCCTCGTGTGTGGAGTGGATGTATCCCCAGACAGACGGGAAGGATGACTACGGCGAGTGCCGTGATTGGCCCGCGAACCTGGACGCTGCCAGGAAAATGACTGCGAAAGGCAGCGAAGTGGCTCCATCTCGCCAGCATTACCCGAAATCGGCCAGAAATCAGTGGCCGAATCACCCTGGGTCGTACAAACGCGGGGTTGCGACAGACAGAGTTGCACACATCGCTATCGCAAACCGAAGTCGCCTTCGTGGCTCACGAGGGCATTCCCACGCTGGAACAAGTTTGGAAGTATACCGTTTTGCACCGCTATGCAACGAACTAGCACCCAAAGAACATACAAGACACGACACATGAGCTTAAAACGGAAGTACTCCCATTACCGCTTTTGAATGCACCAAACCGAACATTAACTAGCGCGTTTATCATTCTTCCTGGGCTTCTAAATTCCTGAGCATTCTGTAATCATCTAAATTCCTAGCGCCGATGGTTCCCTGAAGAGCTTGCACGCGACGCGAGCAGTCTAGATTCGGAGGCTGACGTCTTGTAAGTGCAGTGAGTGCTTCTGCATCGTCGCATCGCCTCAAGAAAAATATAATTCTTGAAAGGCTAGCGTTTCTTACCCAGTAGCGGTCACTCCTCGCTGTCCTTTTCTGGCGTTGCGTCGTTAAGGACTCGCGAATTCTGGTGAAGCGGACTTAAGATTAGCGATAAAAGTGGTAGACGGTTACAACCACGCTCAACTTCGTCAAATCCTCTTCGTGTACTATCGCACCAGCTTGTCCTTTCGTTTGCGGGCACATCTAGATCACTCGTGTTTCCTTTGTGTTCCAATCGCAATCCGTTGTTCGAGATAACTGGCCTTCGGCGAGGCTATTAGTAGGGACCAGTTCACCTCCTCGTGTTTAAGGCGCCTAGATCAACCCACGGCGAGGATAGTAGAAGGGTAGTCTTCTCATCGTGCTGCGCTGATGCCGCTGGTGCATGGCGTGGGTGACGAGGTGCTGTACGCGTTAATAGTACTCTTCGGTATCCCGCTCTGGTTACTGCGTTACTCTCCACACCTAAGGTTAGTACATTCTCCGTTTAAGCCCAGGTCTGCTCCTCCTATGAAGCAGCTGCTTTCGGCCTATTTTGGAAAATAATCAAATACGATTTTTTAAAAAGTAATTTTCGTACGAAGATTTCAGCGAAGATCCCACTATAAGTACGGTCTCCACCCCTTTCCATAGACAGATTATCATCCGCACGCCGTCACACTTCTCTGGTGGCATGAGCGGCAGAATCCGTTCACTCTCCAAACATCACCTTTCGGTATTTGCCTTTTTCAAACTCTTTTCTTCCCTTCCCCCCGCACAACCCCCCCTACCCACCCACTTTTCCTTCCTTCAGGGTGTCACTGCTCTCCGTCTTCCGTTCCACGCCACCCCACTCCACTAGAAGCATCAGCAGCAGCCACAACCTTGGTGGCGCTGCGATCCCTTCTGGTGCTGCTGCTGCTGCTACTGGTGCTACAGCTGCTGCTACATATTCGGGAGGAGTTGGTCAGGCAAGTGGATTTGGTCCGGCAAGTGGATCTGGTCCGGCAAGTGGATCTGGTCCGGCAAGTGGATTTGGTCCGGTTATTGGATTTGGTCCGGCAAGTGGATCTGGTCCGGCAAGTGGATTTGGTCCGGCAAGTGGATTTGGTCTGGCAGAAGGTATTGGAGCAACAGCAGCAGCAGCAGCAGCAGCAGACACGGCAGCAGCAAGAGCTGGAGAAGCAGCAGCAGCAAGAGCAGGAGAAGCAGCAGCAGCAGGAGCAGGAGAAGCAGCAGCAGCAAGAGCAGGAGAAGCAGCAGCAGCAAGAGCAGGAGAAGCAGCAGCAGCAAGAGCAGGAGAAGCAGCAGCAGCAGGAGCAGGAGAAGCAGCAGCAGCAGCAGCAGAAGCAGCAGCAGCAGCAACAGCAGCAGAAGCAGCAGCAGCAGCAGGAGCAGCAGCAGCAGCAACAGCAGCAGAAGCAGCAGCAGCAGCAGAAGCAGCAGCAGCAGCAACAGCAGCAGAAGCAGGAGCAGCAGGAGGATCAGGAGCAGGTGAAATGGCAGGGGGATCAGAGCCAAGGCCACCCGAGGGCGAGATGTGCTGTGTGTGCCATGATGCGTTTGTCCTGCCCACCCAAGCCAACTGCGGCCACTGGTTCTGTGGTGAGTCAGTGCTGGTCAACTTTGGTCAATGCTGGTCAACTTTGGCCAAATCTGAGACATCTTGGAGCCAAGGC